TACATTTATATACGCATATGTACAGTCAAGGGCAAAAGTTGTAATCATATCAATTTTGCAAATAATGGTATAATTTATTTACATTATTATAAGATAAATTAACCATTTGTATTTGTAGAACAAACAAAAACTCTACTAGCGCGTTTAGACTATACCTTCAAAATCGACTCGAATTGTAAATTGAGGAACTAAATTACATAGCGTATACGTCATCTTAATCATGTTCACAAATCCAGTGGATTTTTTTTTTTTTTATATCTGACATTTGAGATCGAATGGATTTCGTAAATCTTAATCTGAAATGTGAATTCTATAGTGTATACGTCAAATATAATTTGTGAACAGGATTAACGTGGCGTATACGCAATGGAATTGACGTTTGAGATCGAGTGGCACGTAGTCTTAGACTAGTATTAAAATGATATAAAGTTGTCAAACAGCTGGTCACCATTGTTTAAATAGTCATTCAATAAATACTAAATTTGTTTAAAATATGTTACGCTGTTTTTTTTTACTTTTTGTTATTACCAACCACTTTTTCTTTCATTGTATACAATTTCATATGTATGACTCTGTGTACTTACAAGACATATGAGTATTCAAATGAATGAATTGTTTTTTTTCGCATAAGACATACTACCACAATACAAAATATATTGTCGTATATTTCCAACAAGTGTAAATGGAAATTTTTATTGTTGTGTGACAACAACAACATTCATTTTGATTATTTGCCAAAATTTCATAATATCGCACACAAAGTAATTACGCCACTCACTATCATTTGAATATGTTAATTGTGTTTATTAATTAACATACATATTTATTTTGTTAATTAATCATATATAATATCTAAACTGGCAAAGAAAACATACCGCTTATACGAATAATGAATTTTTAAACGTTATGGCAACTCTAGCCGAAAATGGCAACATAAACCACAAAACGGTTTCCTTCCTGTGCTCTATTCTATTGTGATTGACGTCTATGTTTTCTAATTTACATACAGTTATACATTGGCGTATGACTCGAACTTGGAGAGTAATTTTTTTGTGTAGGGCTGGCTGACTGTATACAACATTGTATGTTCGCGTAGATCTTTTGTTAAAAGTGCCAGAATCAAACGATGAGTATAATAAACAATGATTAAGATAATCTAACGGAAATTGACTTACCCTGAACTCAAATTCATTCATAGAAATCCGTCACATAAAGGTGAGGAAATTTCAAACTTCTTATGTTTTCTCTTCATGATGCTTTTTGGAGGGAATATTTTGTAATCTAAGATAATATGAATTCATATTAATAGAATATGTACAAAAAAATTGTATAAATCCTCACCAATGTCTTCAAATATCTGAACTTGTTGGAGGAAAGTAATCAACGAATCAAATATTTCCACACAGCTGCATTCCCAATAACGCCTTATGAATTATTTAACATTTTTGAATTGCAAGAGGGGTCAACAAAACTTCGGGCAATCCATTTCATGAACTTAATTTTTTAAATTGAATTTGGAATTATTTAAACCTATTTGATATTCATATAAGTCAAAACAATACATATCGACAGGACATTTTATAGCAGATGCAGATCATCATTTTAAAGAATTATCCATCCTTTTGGCCGTTGGGGGAAGTACAAATCCTAAAAATATTGCTTGGTGCGAGCTGCCACCTTGGGAATATTCTAAAATATTACTAATGATGATGACATTCGAGTTGGGCAATTTCGTTCTTGATACGGACCTAATACCGATTTTCCTTTTGCGGAATAGTTCCTTTGGAAAAGTTAGTTCCGGAACGACCCAAATCTATATGACATATATGTGTTAGTACAAATCCAATATAAAATCGAGGAAATATAGATTCCAAGACCATATTTCGAAATGTTGTCTTCCACTTGATCTTTCCATCGAATTCGTGCTCTTCCCCTTCTGCGTGAACCATCAGTTTATATGCCTTTTGAGTTGGGGCATCCTCATCCATTCTCACAACATGACCTAGCCAACGTAGTCGCTGCAGCTCGATACGTCTCACTATGTCGTTGGCCGAGTATAGATTGTACAATCAAATCGCATGACCTTTTACAGCAGGATGTTCAAAAAGTCGCACGATAAACTGTCACATTGTTTAAAGCCTCTTTCGGTATTGAAGGGCTCCGAGAAGTCATTTCCGACTTTAATTGCTGACCTAGTTCATTTAAAGTTAATCTGCATTGCCGTATTAATTTGATCAGTGTCTGACTACCGGTCTTGAATAATTTGGTTGGTAATCCATCGGCACCTGCTTCTTTATTATTCTTTAGTCCATTAATTGCTATTCTAAACTCATCTTGGCTAGGTGTTATATAATTTTTATCGCCATCTATTTTTGGTTCTGGGGTATATTTTTCACCGTTACTATTTGATACCAGAAGCTTTAAAAACTGCTCCTTCCAGATCTTCCACACACTGTCTGTATCTGTCACAAGGTTTCCTTCTTCATGTGCCTATAACAAAGCCTTCGGTTTGGTTTTTACACGTTGTAAAATCTCCGAATTTCATTCAGACTCCTGTACATCTCGATTTGCTTACGCTCATGTTTTTCTTGTCCTTTCTTCTTTTTTTGAAAATACGTTTCTTTATCTCCTTTTGTAATATTATCTGGACAAGGAGTGCTTTCGACTAACAAGTGGGTAAGATCAGCGGAGTAGGCTTCTGCTACCAGTTGTGTTTTTCTAAGTCGAGAATGTCTTCCGTCTATCACAACAAGATCAATTTGATTTCTCGTAGTTTGGTCGGGAAAAATCCAGGTGGCCTTGTGTATATTGAGATGTTGGAACCTGGAGCTGCTAATTGCCATGTTTTTTGCTCTTCATCTGATTTCTGCATTTTATCCAATACAGCAGTCATATGCTGTCTTTGGTCTGCTCATCTTTATCTTCCGTCGGAGCATGGGCTCATATAAGACTGATGTAGAGAAACTTCGTTTTATAGGGATTGCAGCAATTCACTCATCTGATGGAATGAATCTAGTCTCCAGATTCACTTCTTTTATACTTCTGTTAACCATAAATCCGCAACCAAATCGTAATCATCTGATTTACTTACACCTGTCCCTTTCCATATTTTCCTGTAAGACAATAATATCCATTTTTTAATTTTTGCGTACATCCGCTAAAGCGAAAACAGGATTTTATTGGAGGGCTTTTCCGAGTGTGGGCAACGAACCCGATTTTTTCATTGTTCTTATGGGTGATACTATTTCAACGGTTGATGAAAGTAGCTACCCCAGGTGACAGCGCGGGGACGTCAGTGTCCACAATTGAGATGAAAGAGAAACGAAGATAAGCCTGGGCATTAGCCATGTTCTAAAAATCTAGGATTTTGTACCTCGATTTAAAACTCAGAATTTGATTTAGAGGACGTTTATGTATTGAAATAGCAGTGTGTTAATACTATATCTAAAAGTTTATTTGGAATAGACTTGTTTGTACAAGACTTACGACTAAAATTACAGTTTATTTCAAAAATTAGGCAGATAAATTTAGTTGCCATATGTTACAAATGTCAACCTTACATTGTCCAAACGCGCCTTTCGATATTGCTTTCATCTTTGGTACTTATTATTTGACACATATAAAATGGAATTGACAATTTAAATCCACAGGGTAACGAAAATCGGTTCAAAATAAACGTACTATAAGCTTAAAAATATAATTGTCAAACATATTGTTGTTGTAAGAAGATACCTATCTTATGTTTTTGAGTTTGTAAGCAGACACTTTTAATATCATGTACCACAGTGTGAGCTGAGGCGTGAATTTTCAGTTTTTCTTGTTTTACTTAAAGGAAACACTTAGTTGCATGCATATTGCATAACATATTATTTTGACTAGAATTTTTTTACGAAACTGACCCAAAACCAAATAATTGCAAAATCAACAACGTTACCGCTGCGCAGTGATGCGTTGCGGCTAATTCATTCCACAATAGATTCATGCTTGGTCTATAACCAATAGAGAAATCGCGTTCATTTCCTTTAAGCCTCCGTATCGTTTTCAAAATAAATGTGCAAATTGATAGTAATTAATAATGTTAATAAACCGATAGATAAACAAATAGTTTAGAACGTGAACAGTTTATTTGATGGAATATGTAAATAAATAACAACATTGTAGGCATAATATCATGTCACAAATGTCAAGATATTTTTTTTGAAATAATCATTAATTAAGTAATTCATTTACAACAGTCTTGGCTAGCGGTTCAACATAAGACAGCTTAACGCTTGATATCAGGGTATTTAATGAAATATATGTAATTTATTTATTTATTTATTTTTTTTGTGGTGGAAATATTTATTGTCTCCACTAACACTATATGTTGATCAAAGAAAGAATGCCGATTTCCCAGTTACAACTGCCAAGTAAATAATTGGCATAACGATTCTTGAAACAATTATAACTTTCCTTCAGATATACTTAATATGTAATAATAAAATTTCCTGCCTAATGATAAATATCCGAAAAGAAATTCTATTCTCTTGGAAATATTTCACAAGAAGGAGTTGTTTTGATCTCGAAATATGTCAATATAGCATCTCAAATTAGATTGGTTCGCACCTTGTGTAGTCTATTTATGTACAGATTTGTTTTTAAAAGTACATTTAGTTTTACGAAATCCACTCGATCTCAAATGTCAATTCCATAGCGTAAACGTCAAATATAATCCACTGGATCATGGTTAAGATGGAATTTACATTTGAGATCGAGTAGATTTAGTAGTCTAAACGTGCTCTAAAATAAAAAAAAAAAACAAAAAACAAAATTATTGAACAGCAACAATAATTGAAAATAATATGCAAAACTTTTGTGTTATAAAATCTACCTTGGCGTATACATTTTGACACAACTCATACGTCCTATGTTCCATTAAAAAATAATAATTCAATATCTTTGACTCTATTAATTATAATAATTTTTATTAACTCTCCTCTTTTCAACCATTATAATTACAGGGCCTCGAGCATTTAATGTACAATTTGGGTTTGGGACATTTGGAATTCGAACCATCACACACCGTTGATCAACACAAAACCAAGTCTGGTACTGGCAATAATGTCAACGAAGATGCCATCAAATCGTACATGGATTTACAAACTAAAAAATTAGGTTCAGATGATGGCGATGACTATGATACACAATTGGCAAAGGAGGCGAAAAGTAAAAATCAAAAAGCAGATAAATCTCACGAATATCATCACGGTGATAATGAAGACGCACAGCACCAATCTCTAGATAGCCCCATAATTGTTGAATTCAAAGAGATGCATGATCCCAAACATAGACATCCGCGTGAAAATGGTATGTAAATAAAAAACACACTCATACATAGACATTGAAGTAGTAAACACTTAGTATCCTATAAATTATCATTATATCCACAATATAAGCAGTCAAAAAGATAACAGATGGTAACATAAAAGAAAACAGACCATATTCTATTTTTTGTTAATATTTTAATGCCAGTAAATATATGATTAAATACATGTACAAAAATACATATGGGTAAAACAGAAAAAATATACCGCCTCTCGTTGCATGCATGGTACAATAATACAAGGTAGGGCAACTTGAATTGACAATTTAAACCAGTTAAAATATTATAGGTGGTTTTGTGAGCCCTACCTACTGAAGGCACGTTTAGACTACGCTTTCTAAGTTGACTCGATTTCAAACCAATATACGAAATCCAAGCTGTTTAGACTAGTATTACAATGGCATAAACATGACAGTCAGCTGATTTTTTACGTAAACATACATATTTCACTAATTTCTTCAATTTTGAGCAACATTTTCAACCAATATTTTCATAACTCTAAAAGAATTTGATCTCCATTAGGTGAAAAATCCATAAAATCATATTTTGTTTCAATTTATAGTAATATTGATTAATAAAATAAGTTTTAACTTTAACGTATTTTGATTTAGTATTTTGAATGAAAACGTAGCCAAAACTTGCCTTGATTGAGATTTACCAAATCCCCTCGATTTAAAACGTTATATCCACCGATTTACTTGACCTATACGCTATTAAATTGTCATTTGAAATCGAGTGGACTTCGTACTCCACAATCATAGAAAACTTTAAATTAGACCGCGTTTAGACTATTAAATCCACTTGATTTCAAATGTCAAAACCATAGCGTATACTTCACGTATAATTAAAATTTAGTAGATTATATTTGACGCTATGGAATTGACAATTGAGAACGAGTGGATTCCGTAAATCTAAACGCACTTTTAAATACTAACTGCAATATTATAACAAATAATGGTTTAATTCTTCTTAAACATAATTTATTACTTTATCCGCAAGCCAAATGTCGAATCACTTTTTGCACTCCGAATGAACACCTCCCAATATTAAAAATAAAAACAACATAACCACCGCTCTTTATCTTACCACCCATATTAAAGTAATAAACAGTAATTCACGGCGGTGAAATAAAGTTCTTCAATAACCTCGCAATTTGAACTACCTTGACTTTAACCAAGACCTTCCACAAAGAAGAAGAGCAACTAGTAGTAGTAGTAGTATCTCAACAATAATTTTATCTTTTGCTAACAAAACAAAAGTTTCAAGATCATAACATTATGAATTTGTGCGCATTTAAACTGCAACAATAAACGTATATTATAATCTAAATGTTTTCACGAAAGAAAAGACAAATAACTTTAAGATAACCAACTAGACAGATTTAATATTTAGTCGGAATTGTCGTAAAACTTATGAACATCTCACATTTATTTACACTTTCATTTAAATAAACAAAAAAATAGTAAAACACGATATAACGTCTGAACAAATGCTAATATTACATTTGTGAAAAAAAAATATTGATTTAGTTTACAAAATTGGCAATAATATTATTTAATTCTAGGATAATTAGATGATAATTAAAGAAACAAATTTACTTGAGAAACGCTTGTTTTTTGAAATTTTAAATATATATTGTAATCTGATAATCAGCCGTTCCTAATGGAATACCTAGTTACTATGCCATGGTACATTCCATTTAGAACAGCTGACTATTCGATTAACTGTCAAAGTGTGTAGTTTCTACTTGAATTCTCTGTGCAATGTTGCCAACCAAGGTCTATTAATAAAGGCATCAGGGAGATCAGCTGACTCTCAAGTTTGCTGTCAAAATCCATTATTGTGAATTGACTTCCATTATGAAAACGTAAATGAAGTCCAAACTTGTTGACATTAGACTTGAGCTGCTGGGTGACCTTATTAATAGATCTTGTGGCCAACCATGAGAAATATAACTAGATAATATTTGATAGATGATCGGGTAAAAAACAAATTGTTTCATGGTGCATTTTTAAATCAGCTGAAAATCCCGAGACATTAAGGCGCGTTCACACTATAGCTTCTTTCGTACTAATCTATTTAAATGCTAAATCGTATTGAATTTACCTAGATTTACCACACAAAATTTATGATATCCTATATTAAAAATTCAAACCTTTTTAAAAACTATATTTGAGATCAAAATGTTTTATTTGTTTACAAAAATACTGATAAAATATCAGCTGATGTTACTGAAAGATATTTACTAGGTAAAATTTCCTTGTAAAAAGTCAGTCATGAATGTCAAATTTTCTCTCTCAATTCACTCTATTTTACCAGACGTATTCTTAAACTATCAACATCCAACAAACAAATTTTACAAATTATTGTGTAAACGAACAAACCTTATGTGAAAAATAACAGTTATAAACTTCATATCATTTCAATACTAGGATTCAGTACCTCGATTTAGATAGATAAAACGTCATTTACATTAGAGCTTTTTATCAAGTTAACCTACTCTATGAGGATTTATTTGACATGTATACAATGGAATTAAGAATTGAACCCATTGGGTTAACGAAATCCGGTATAATATAATGCAGGAACCTCCAACCTTAACCTCAAAACTTAACTAACATATGTTAACAGATATAAGATAAATATATTTTAAAAGATTTAAACAACAATATAAACGAAAAAATCAGACGAATAAATACATATTTAACTTTTTACATACATATAAATAGATATTCATTGATTTACACAATACCCTCAACTCATTATGACAATCAGCACGTAAATATAATTTAGATTTTCCCTAATCCACTTTTTTTGTTTGTAATAAAATGCATTCATTGTGTCTTTTTTTTGTTTTGTTTATCAAATTCAATTTCACATTTCAGTAATTTTATATTTGGAATTTCAATTACGACTCGTGTTATTGTCGAGTGAAATATTTCCTTAGAAAGTTACCTTCAAACAGATACAACACATAATATGACTTAACACAATTGACTCTTTTGTCCAGTCCAGTGAAAGAAAGATTCATCCAACAACAACAATAATAATCACTGTTGTTGTTTTCTGCACATCACTCCCTCCCTTACAGGGAGAGATAGGTTGTTTTTCTTGACTTCGATTCAACAACACAAACTTATTTACATGTCAAACATCTATTTAACGGTCTATGATAATTAGAGGAAAAGAGAGACTGTATTTGCAAAACCCCAAGCAAATATGGATGACTATCAAAATAAAGAACATGGCAACAAATTATAATTTCAAGTACAAGTTCAATTGCAATGTAGAGTGGTCCAGTGGTTGTGTCAACATTGTACATTCTTTAATTTTCATTTCAAGTTTATTCCAATTATGTTTCAGAGGCAACGGCGCTTATTTTCAAACACAAATGCCAATTGATATCTACGCTCTCCGACAAAGAGGCTGAAAATTAAACTTCAAACATAAATTGAAGTGAGGCTGCCACATGAAATGTCAATACAACTTGATCATAATTAGAATATTTTTGATTTTGTACCGAAATTAAAACAAAAACCCAGATGATTTGCCAAATCTTATATAATCTACAGAGATTTTAGATTAAACCAGCTGATATTTCCGTTTTACACTCAGATATAAACAATTAAGTTTTAGCTTAAGTTTAGTGTCAATAATTTTGACATTATTTACGTGCTCGTAATGTAAAGTTAACTCAAATAAAAGTACATTTTCATATACGATTTTAAATAGTCTCGATTAACGAAATCCAGAAGTACACACTAATTGTATACACATACCTATGGCACAATGAATAGGTAGTCCATTTAGCGCAGCTGATGTCTTGATTAACTGTCAAAGTGGGTAATTTCTACTTGAATTCGATGTGCAGTGTTGCCAACCATTTGAAATATTATATGGAAATATTTGACAGATAATCGAGACAAAACAAAGGTTTCTGTTTTGATACATCACCTTATTATTGCATCATGCACATACCCATGGCATAATTACAGAAGGTGGTCTCATTTGAAAATTTTATCATGGCAACCCTTTTTAATTTGGAACTCATATATCAATTTTAAATAATATGAAAAATAAATTTCATAAAATTTTATGTTTGTCGATTGGCATATATTCAATAAATTAAAAAATGTATTTTCTAATTCTATTTACCAATTTTTGCCACTGAACACATGATGTGCTTACATTTCGAAGGAGGAAATTTTCATTTAAATTTTGAAAGCTGAATACTGTCAAAGGCAAATTTATGAAAAAAATGGAAACATATGACTGCATGAGACTACCTTGTATAATTGTGCCATGACACATTCCTTTAATAATGATCTAAATGTCGATCAGCTGATTACTACTTTGGGTCAAAATATTTGTTTGCAATTTGAAAATGAAAAGAAAAATTGCAACAATGGAAATGTTTTTGCAATGGTGTGATCGTTGAAAGTAAATAAAATCTCATCTAATCACAATAATTCTTTAAACTATATTTATTAGCTTATTTGCAACTGATTTTCATGGTAGAACCAAGACCAATTAATAAGGTCGTCCAGGGGTCGTCCAGCTGGATATCAGCTGCCTGTTAAGTTTGGTGCCAAAATCCAATATTGTGAATTGACTTCCATTATGAAAACGTAAAAAAAACCAATTTTTTGACATTAGACATGAAGAAAAATAGTTGACTTTCGCTAGCTGGGTGAACTTATTAATAGATCTTGACATTAGCTACGTTCGTGTAAAAAAAAAAAATAGTAAAATTATTACCAAGGTGTATTTAGTAAGGTGTAAGTGACAATCATATGGTTTCAAACTTTTTTCTTTATCGCTTGTAAAGCAAATTGTCAAAAACATTTTCAATATTACATTTCGATTTCAAAAATGGTCTACAAATTTAGGTTTTTTTTAATAATAAACATTCAAGAAAACAACATTCATAGAGGCGGACGGAAAGGAAACCTAGGCTCAGTTATAAACCCGTTCACCGATTGGT